CGCGGGTGGAGAGGTGAGGGGAGGGAGGGAGGGAGACCCAGAGGATTGCAGGTTACGAGAGAGAGAGATGGTGATTATAGTCCTTTCACCCCATCGTGTGAATTCATTGGCTTTGGTGTTTGGGGCAGAGAACAAAAAATTTACTTTTGGGGGCAAAGACCCCGTTGAAAAAGTCTTGGGGGTGGGAAGCTTGTTTTCATTCGTTTTGGGGGCTGGAAGCATTTTTCCCTAGTTTTAATCGCACGGTCCGAAGAGGCTTAGACACCAAAACAATGCCGTGCGAGTATGCTGCTCGCGAGCATGCAGTGATCTTCCGCTCAGCAATGTCGATCTTTATCAATCTCCTAAAGGATTGCAGATTTTCTCATATATATTCACATTCCCTCTGTTACCAGATATCTTTTGCCTTTGTAAATATAGTTTTCTTTATTACCAATAAATCTCATATGCGAGTCGCATGTTAAAAAAAAAAAAAAAAAAGGAGCCAGGCATGTAGAGCAGAAATTTCAAGTCAAAGAGAAAGATAATGCAAGGCGATATAGTCTTTCTTCCTCTCAACTTTTCCTAATATTGTATTATTTTCATCCTCTTAACCATTTATTCATAATGCTCAATTATAATTAATTTATTCCTTTAATAATCAAGTTTTAGTTTCATTTGCTGTATTAGGCTTCACATGTTTTTTATCCCAACAAGAGTAGTCCTCAAAAAACCATTAAGTTCTAGAAAAAGAAAGAAAGAATGGAAATAACCCAATCCTCCACTCTCAAGCCAAGTGTTTCAAAGATTTCATTTTTTTTTATCCCAATAAGGATAGTACGTCCTCAAAACCCCATTAAGTTCTAGAAAAAGGAAGAAAGAATGGAAATAACCCAATCATCCACTCTCAAGTCAAGTTTTTCAAAGATTTCAAAACCTATCATTAATTTCTATTTCTTTCCTTTCTTAGGCAAAACAAACCTCAAAAGAGTCAACTATGCACAATCTTACCTCCAGCAACGCACAAAATCAAGACAAGTATTAATCAGTATCTCCCAACAACTATTAATAAGTATCCCCCCCTAATTAACCCTCATCTATAAATACAGATTTAATTAAGCACACTAGTCTCATTACATTCAAATTAACAATGAATAGGGAGGAGGTGGTGGTCATTGTAGGGGGTGGGCCCGCTGGGCTCGCCGCTGCCGCATGCCTGAACGTTTGCCTCATCCCCAACGTCATCCTTGAGAAGGAGGGCACCCACGCTCACCTCTGGAAGAATAAGACCTACGACCGCCTCAACCTCCACCTCGCGAAAGAGTTTTGCAATTTACCAAACCACCCCTTCCCAGACTCAACACCAACATACATTTCAAAGAAAACCTTCATCACCTATCTCGACGACTACGTCGAGAAGTTCCATATCAACATTCGATACAAGACTACCGTGAAAACGGCGTTCTATGATGAGAAGGAGAATAAGTGGGTGATTTGGGTAAGAGATGAGGCGAGCGGAGAGGAGGGGGAGTATTTGGCGAGGTTTTTGGTGGTGGCAACGGGAGAGAATGCGGAGGGGTTGGTGCCGGATGTGAAGGGCTTGGAGAGTTTTGACGGGGAGGTGATTCACTCTTGTGAGTACAAGTGCGGAGAGGGGTACTTTGGGAAGAGGGTTTTGGTGGTCGGGTGTGGGAACTCTGGCATGGAGATTGCCTACGATCTTTCGAATTTTGGCGCCAAAACTTTTATTGTGGTCCGAAGCCCGGTATGTCTAGGCTTAAATATAATATGTAAAGTTAATTAGTGTTATCTTTTGAGGGGGAAAAAAAACCTTAATATATACATGATTAAAAGATTATATTGGGTCAACCTATATATAATTGTTCAGGGCATGTGTCAAGAGCCTTTTACTTGACTAATCCGGTTTTGATCCCATTAAAATACTTAATTTTTATATAAAAATAATAAAAACACAATTAAATGGATTAAGGCTTTTACTCCATCATGAAATATAATCACCTCTAATGATCAAAGCATCAAAGTGCAGATGCTCTCACGCTTTGTTAGGGTTGAACAGGCTCATTAAGAAGATGAATTAGGCCAATTTATTTGGACCCAGTTGACCCAAAAAGATTAATCTCATATGATATATTAACATTTTTTTTAGAAAATAAGGGCCTTAGTCCATTTATTGAAGAGTGAGTAAAGGGCATATAGAAATTTATGACATCTTAATTCTCTGATGTACAAAATAGAACAACGTCTCAAATATGCGTATAAAACTTTTTTGCATGCGAAGTTTCATGTGATGAGAAAGGAGTTGATACATTTGGGCATGGTTCTTGCAAAATATTTGCCAACTAAGGTAGTAGACACCCTCCTCCTCATCCTCAACTGGTTCCACTACTTCAACCTATCCAAATATGGAATCATTAAGCCAACCATGGGCCCTCTCTCCCTCAAGGCAGCAACCGGGAGGTCTGCAGTTATTGATGTTGGTACAGTTAGCAAGATCAAGACTGGTGAAATTCAGGTGAAATTTAAACATTAACATCAGTTCCTCATAAATTTATGCAATGTTTAATTTATTTGAACTAATAATCTTTATATCTTGAATAAAAAAAGGTTGTTAAAGAGATACAGAGTGTGAGTGGTAGCGAGGTGGAGTTCAAAGATGGAAAGATATATGATTTTGATGCTATAATTTTTGCGACTGGTTATAGAAGCGTTGCAAACAAATGGCTAAAGGTATGAAAAGTATTTCGGTGCTTTTTCATTATTCAAAATTTTGAAAAGGGTTATAACCAGTATACACCGCCTATGTTATAGTAGTTTAGTCTTCTTTCAGTTAATTTGAAGGCAAAAGCAATTTCACGTTACTTGATTACTACGCGACATTTCAATCTAATTAACTTTGACAATCATGTTGTTTATTGTTCTGAGGATAAGTAGTGCTATAATAAGATAGTTTATAACCAGTATAAAGGATATATGTGCTTTGCAATTAACTCATATATATGAAGAAATAACTGAAATTTTATGTGATTAATTTCAGGATGAAGGTTGGTTGATGAATGAAGATGGGTTTCCTAAAAAGAAGTTTCCTAATCACTGGAAGGGGAAGAATGGGCTCTATTGCGCAGGTTTTGCTAGGAGAGGGTTAGCTGGGATATCCATGGATGCACAACTGATTGCCAAGGATATTGATATGCTTTATGAAAGGAACCAAGCATGCAATAAATTAGAGTGATGTAGTGTTTGTCTCCTTCTTCTGTTTATATTAGCTTTAGTATGAATCACCATGGCTAGTGCAATAATGCATGGTAAATTTGCTTATGTATGTTGGTGGTGATCTATACATGCATGTTTGTCTTAATAAAAGAGGCATATTTTATCAATGAATGTATGAATTATCCATATATTTATATTTTACTTTTAAGTCTACTTTGGAGCTTGGGAAAGAGGGGTTAACACTACTTGCTTTATTAATAAAAGAGCTAATCCTTAACAATACGTCTGAAGAGGTGAATTATAAAATCCTGAGTTTTGAGGGGTTAATAAAACTCCTCTCAATCCCTTTGAAAGTGATGCCTTAACCATTTTACAATTTTTGTTCGATAAATGATGACGGGTTAGTTCATTTTATTTCTTGCGCAAGTCTTTGTGCATTTGAGAAGGAAATATTATCCTTAACCCCTCGTTTGATCCGCTGCCAAACTGTTATGTGCAACGGAACTTGAAACACACGAAAGAACACGAACAAGAACGAGATAGATCATAACTAATAAGTAAAACACAATCACCATAGCAAGACAAACGAATTTTATGTGGTTCGGCAAGTTGCCTACGTCCACGGGGCAAGGAGGGGGTGGATTTTACTATTAGAGAGAGAGTACAAATAGAGATTACAAATTCACTCAAAACTCACAAATTAATCTCTCAAACAAAGCTCTCAAATCTCTCACCAAATCTCCTAATCACACTGCTCAAAAGTCTCTTCTTTTTTCCTTAAAGAAACAATAAAAATCGTGTTTCAATATATATCAAAATACAAACCAAATCAGAACAAGAAACGAAGCCCACACCCAAACCCGAGTCGCGGTCGACCGCACTTGATGCCACGGTCGACGGAACAGAACTTTAGAAAAACAAAAATCTATTACAGGGTCAGCGATCGACCGCACTTGACGTCACGGTCGACCGTTAAAAGATCCAGAACCTACCCTGTAGTGTATACGTTTCCGGTCGACCGCACATGTTGCCGCGGTCGACCGGCCAGAGCTCAAACTGATTCCTGCTTTGTTTTTCCTGAACTTCGTCGTTGTTTTCGCCGTTTCTACAATTCACCACCTCGGTGAAGTTTTCCCAAAACTAAGCCGACATCAATACCAACCAAACGTCCCACTTGTTGCATCCAGTAAGAAGTAGAAACAATTCACGACAATAGACTCAATGCACAACAAGTCGAGAACCCAAACGAGAATGCGAACAAACTCCAAAATGTCGGTATCAACTTTATCAAACTGGCTGCATCAAAAATGACTGCCTACGTATCCTCTTACCCAAGAAATCAAGCCTCACGTAGTTCACCCAAATGGCCTCTAAAGGCCCTCAACATCGAAGAATATTCAATAACTCTAAACAATGACCAAACTTCACACCCGAGATAACTTTGATCAACATATCCGCAATGTTGTCCTTTGTGTGAATCTTCTCCAATATGACATCTCCATCATCCAAGACATCTTGAACAAAATAGAATATAACATCAATGTGCGTCATGTGTGCATGATAAACCTGGTTCTTTACTAAATAGATAGCTGACATGCTAGCACAATACACCCGAATGGTCTCCTGTGCAATCCTCAAGTCATCCAACAATCCGTGAAACCACAAAGCCTCATTTACAGCTTTAGTCACCGCCATATACTTTGCCTCCGTATTAGAGAGCCACTGTAGACTAAAGTGTATATCTCCAACACACTGGGGCTCCTGCCAATGTAAATACATATCCTGTAGTAGACCGGCGCTTGTCAAGATTCCCTGCATAATCAGAATCCACATAGCCAATACAATCATGCTCAATCTTCTCATTCTTTTGAAATACCAAACCAACATTCATGATGCCTTTAATATACCATAGAATCCACTTCACGACCTCCCAATGATCCTTCCCGGGGTCGTGCATGTACCTAGATACCATACTCACGGCCTATGACAAATCTGGCCTCGTACACATCATCGCATACATCAAGCTACCCACATCATTGTCATATGAAACCTCTGACATGTACTCTCTATCTTCAACTAAAATATGTGATATCTTAGCTGAAAGCTTAAAGTGGGGAGCCAGTGGAGTGCTTACTGCCTTAGCATTACCATCAAAATTGAATTTCTTCAACATCTTATGCAAGTAGCTCCTATGTGTAAGCTTCAATCTCCCCTTCACCCTGTCTCTCTCGAGCTTCATACCCAATATCTTTTTAGCTTCTCCAAGATCCTTCATCTCAAACTCGGATGACAACTCTTTTTTCAACTTTCGAATAACCGAAGAATTCCTAGAAGCAATAAGCAGCTCATCAACATATAATAATAAATAAATATACTCACTATCTTGTACCTTGTGCATGTAAACATATGGGTCATATGGGCTCCTCGTGTATCCTTGACCAATCATAAAACTATCTAATCTCTTGTACAATTGTCGCGACGATTGCTTCAATCCGTAAAGAGATTTCTTTAGCTTGCACACCAAATCCTCCTTTCTTGCAGCTTTAAGCCCCATAGGTTGTGTCATATAGATCTCCTCATCTAAATGTCCATGTAAAAAGACTGTTTTAACATCCATTTGGATCAAATCCAAATCCAGCTATGCCACCAATGCCAAAAGAATCCTAATCGACGAATGCTTCATAATAGGTGACAATACCTTATTATAATCAATGCCCTCAAGCTGGGCATACCCCTTGGCAACCAATCTGACTTTGTACCGAATGTCCCCAATAGAAGATTCCTTTTTTCTTACATATACCCACTTGTATCTAATAACCTTCTTTCCCTTTGGTAGCTTTGCAAGTTCCAGGGTGTCGTTCTTCTGAAGAGAGTGTATCTCTTCCTCTATAACTTTTCTCCACCTGATCGAATCAGAGCTAGATGATGCCTCCCTATATGTAGAAGAAACCAAATCATCAACGACCTCCACTGATAAAATATATGCAACCAACACATTATTGTATCTAGCTGGCCGACGAATCACCCTTCTAGGTCTATTTGCTGCAATTGACTCCTGAACAAGACCCTGCTCCTGAGTCTCACCAACCACTGTATCCTCCAAATGCCAATCTATCATCACATCTCCTCCTAGTGTCACCTCTGTAGGAGCTTCAATGGATACAATGCTATATGGAATGGGTGGAGTCACATCATCCTCCACATGCTGTGATATCCTACTAGTTTGGTCTTCCTCCACCTGCTGAGGGACTTGAGGCCTTATCATATATGTCTCATCAAACATGACATCTCTGCTAATGACTATCTTTTTATCCTATGGATCCTACAATTTGAAGCATTTAACTCCTTCTCTAAAGCCCACAAAGACTGCTTTTCTCGCCTCGGGTTTAATTTTCTATCATTGACATGATAATAAGCTGGATACCCGAATATCCGAAGTAACTCATAGTCACTAGCCACCAATCTAGACCATAGCTCCATAGGAGTCTTCTCATGTATCATAGTGCACGACAACCTATTCACGAGATGGCTCGCATAAACCAACGCCTCGACCTAAAAGAATCTTGACAATCCACTATGTGACATCATACATCGCACATTCTTCAGCAAGGTATGGTTAAATCTCTTAGTCACCCCGTTTTATTGTAGTGTCTTGAACTATGAAGTGTCGCTTAATATCGTGATCTCAGCAAAACTACAAAAATGGATTACTCTTATACTCTCCACCATTATCTGAACGAAGTGTCTTCACTTTTCGACCTGTCTGCAGCTCTACTTTCTTCTTCCACTCTACAAAAATATTCAGGACATCATGTTTATGTTTTATGGTATATACCCAATTTCTTCTAGAATAGTCATTAATGAAAGTGATAAAATAGTTGGTCCCACCAAGTGATGTGTGTTTGGAAGGACCCTAAACATCTGTGTAAATATAATCTAATATACCTTGGGTATTGTGAATTATGGTGCCAAATTTCACTTTAGTCTTATTCCCAAGTACATAATGCTCACATAGCTCCATCTTACAGGTCTTTGCACCTTTCAATAGCCCATGTTTTGCCAATGTTTGTAGGGACTTATCACCAATGTGTCCCAATCTTATATGTCATAAGCTGGTAGTATCATTCTCTATAGTGATAGAAGCTGCCAGACCCCATGTAACTGTCTTTCCCTTCATGTAGTATAGGTTGTTTTTTCTGACACCTCACATCACCACCAGAGATCCTTTTGTGCCCTTCAAAGTGGCATTCTCTAAGATCACACAATAGCCTGTTGCCTCCAAAGTCCCAAGAGAAATGATGTTCTTCCTCAACTGTGGAACGAACCTCACTTTCTTTAGCTCCTTAGTCACCCTATCACACATACTAATCCGGATTGTATCAATACCACCAATAGGACATACGTGATCATTACCCATAAGCACGGCATCCCCTCTTCTAACTTCTCAAAGCTGAAGAATCAATCCCTCCTAGGAAAAATATGATATGTTACTTCCGAATCCATCATCCACTCCGTAGAGTCGGCATAGCAAAATGATGATAGTGAAGGGCATGAGCCCGAAGAATCCGAATCTGAATTATCGCCACCAGCCTTAGCAACATTCACCTCTGAAGCTTGTACAGCTTTCCCCTTGTTCTTCTCGGCTTTATCCTTTAACTTTGGACATTCGTTCTTCCAATGTCCCTCTTGTTGGCCTTCTTGTTTTGATGATGATTTGCAAACAATTTACATCTAATATTATTTATCTAGTGTTTGTGTTTTCGTATTTATTTTAGGCAAACAACGAGTTGGAGGATGGATGTAATAGCGCTTCAACGACGATATCAAATAGAGGTTGGCAGAAATATGGAGTGAAGCTTATGCAATTCAAATTCAAGATCCAAGTTCAGCTTCATCCGCATAGTGTATCAAGTCAAGCTTATTGAAGATCAAGATCGGCTTGGGTAATCTAGTTTAGGTTTTATATTATGTGTGTTAGATACTCTAAGCTTAATATCATATACACACACATTTTATTGG